GTGGTTATCACAGTGTATTTAATTAGATTCACAGTGATGGTGGAAAGAGTTTATAACCCCAGGTCATATGGTATGATAGTTGGAAAGAATCTTGAAATCAGTTAACAAATCTCCTCATCTGAAGAAGGAAGAAACTCACACTTAGAGAAGTAAATTGACTAAAATTAACGCAGTGTGGATAAGTGCTGAGTAGAAACAGATTTATAGTTATCTCATTGTCCCTCCTTTCTTCTTTCATCCCTTCCAAGGTACTTTGTTGGGCAGAAGTGAATAAAGAATAGACCCAAAACCACAATGAGATACCACCTCACACCAGTCAGAATGGCTAAAATTAACAAGTCAGGAAACAACAAATGTTGGCGAGGATGCAGAGAAAGGGGGACCCTCCTACACTGTTGGTGGGAATGCAAGCTGGTGCAGCCACTCTGGAAAACAGTATGAAGGTTCATCAAGAAGTTAAAAATAGAGCTACCCTATAACCCAGCAATTGTACTACTAGGTATTTACCCTAAAGATACAAATGTAGTGATCTGAAGGGGCACCTGCACCCCTACATAGCAGCAATGTCCACAATAGCCAAACTATGGAAAGAGCCAAGGTGTCCATCGATAGATGAATGGATAAAGAAGGTGTGGTATATATATATGATGGAATATTACTCAGCAATCAAAAAGGGTGAAATCTTACCATTTACATCGATGTGGATGGAACTGGAGGGTATTATGCTGAGTGAAATAAGTCAATCAGAGAAACACAATTGTCATATGGTTTCACTGATATGTGGAATGTAATAAACAGCAGAGAGGATCATTGGGGAAGGGAGGGAAAACTGAATGGGAGGAAATCAGAGAGGGAGACAAACATGAGAGACTCTTAACTATAGGAAACAAACAAGGTTGTTGGAGGGGAGGTGGTGGGGGATGAGGTAACTGGATGATGGCATTAAAGAGAGCATGTGATGTGATGAGCACTGGGTGTTTTATGCAAATGATGAATCATTGAACTCTACATCTGAAACTAATGATGTAGTATATGTTGGCTAAGTGAATTTAAATAATAAAAAAAAGGAATAGACCATACACTTAAACAGTGTATGGTTTTAAAAAATGTGTAAACATATAAGTATCAAATAAATTCTAAGCTAGAAGTTGGGTGGGATGTAGGCAAGATCAATAGCCTCCTGGGGGGCTAAGGAAAAGCTTAGAAAAATGAAATTCAAGTTAAATGTTGAAGATGAGTGGCTGCTTACCAGTCATATGGGGGAGTGATACATTTTAATCAGAGGTAGTAGCATTACTAAGGACAGAGGGGCATGAAGTTGCAAGACCTCCCCCTCCTTTTTTTTTTAAGGAAGTAGGTGGAAATTGAGGGAATGGGGAAGGGATTTCAGGTAAGAAGAAAGATAAGGCTGGAGAAGTAGGAAGATCATGGACATTTTGTGCTATAATAAGTCATTTGGACTTTATGGGTAAAGGGGAGCTGCCAATTGAGTGTTAGCAATAGTGTGACAATATGACTGGATCCATGCTTTCATTCTGGTGGCAAAGTTGGTTGGACTGGAGGTGGGCAGGAAGCAGGACTGAAGCAGGAAGTCAGGTGGATGTCATTGTAACCCAGGAGGCAGATGATGTTGGCGTGGATGAGGAACAGGAACACATGTGCGTTGTCCATTGCTGTGTTCCAGGTGCTGAGAACACTGCCTGGCACTAGCAAACCTTTGTAGAATGAATGAAACGACAGTGATGGTGTTATCTCCAGATGAGACATTCTGTTACTTAGGGGGCAGTGGTGTACCCAGATAAAAGACCAGATGAATATCTGATTTGTATACTATTTGAAAGATTGAGTTACTTTATTTATAAAGATTAAAATTAAATGTAGGGACAGTCGAGTAATGAAAAGCTCTGGCTAACTGAATTTTCTGGTTAAATGAGGATGAAGTGAAGTTGCTCAGAATGATACAATGTCCCTGTAATACGAATAATATAACATGAATATTTAATGTGATCTCTTTTAGGTAAATAATGAGAGCTCTCTCAAAAATTACTTTTTGAAGGGTGCCTGGGTGTCTGCCTTCGGCTCAGGTGATCCCAGGGTCCTGAGATTGAGCCCCACTTCGGGCTCCCTGCTCAGTGAGGAGTCTGCTTCTCCCTCTCCCCACCCCCACTTGTGCTCTCTCTCGCTCAAATAAATACATAAAATCATTTAAAAATTGCTTTTTGAGAAGTTGAGCATTTTACAAAGAACAGATCCTTCTATTGAATAAAAAAAATCTACAAATTCTTAAGGAAATATATTAAAAATACAAACTAACATTGTCACTATAATTAAGGGAAAAGAAAAAATAATTGTAATTCAAAAAGTTGCAAAAGAAAGAAGTAGAGAGTTGCAGAAATCCACAAGAAAAGAGATATATTTCAAAAGTAAGTTTGGTTTAAACGTACAAAGCTTGCAGATGGTTCTAGAGACAATTAAAAAGTGTCTGCCTTCAGCTCAGGTCATGATCCCAGGGTCTGCTCCCTGCTCAGTGAGGAGTCTGCTTCTACCTCTCTCTTCCCCCACTTGTGCTCTCTCTCTCTAGCTCAGATAAATACATAAAATCATTTAAAAATTGCTTAATTAAAAAAAATCTTGCTAATGAAAAGAAATCAACTTTAAAAAGCAATGATAGCATTGCTTTTCTTTTTCAAGACTGCTTTGGATATTGGGGGTCTTTTGTGGTTCCATACAAATTTTAAGATTGTTTGGTCTAGCTCTGTGGAAAATGCTATTTGTATTTTGATAGGGATTGCATTAAATGTGTAGATTGCTTTGGGTAATATAGAAATTTTAACAATATTTGTTCTTCCAATACGTGAGCATGGAATGTCTTTTCATTTCTTTGTGTCATCTTCAATTTCTTTCATCAGTATTTTATAGTTTTCAGAGTACAGGTCTTTCACCTCTTCGGTTAGGTTTATTCCTAGGTACTTTATTATTTGGGATAGGATTAAAGACCTAAATATGAGATCTGAAACCACAAAAATCCTTGAAGAGAGCACAGGCAGTAACTTCTTGGACATCAGTCATAGCAACTTCTATCTAGATATGTCTCCTCAGGCAAGGGAAACAAAAGCAAAAATAAACTATTGGGACTACATCTGCACAGCGAAGGAAACAATCAATAAAACTAAAAAGCAATCTCCAGAATGGGAGAAGATATTTGTCAATGACATATCCAATAAAAGGTTAGTATTCAAAATATATTGAGAACTTATAAAACACTGAAAAAACAATCCAATTAAACATGGGCAGAAGACACGAATAGATATTTCTCCATAGAAGACATATAGATGACCAAGAGACACATGAAAAGATGCTGCTCATAATCACTTATCATCAGGGAAATGCAAGCCAAAACTACAGGAGATACCACCTCACACCTGTCAGAATGACTAAAATCAGCAACACAAGATACAAGCGTTGGCGAGGATGCGGAGAAAGGGGAACACTCACACACTGTTGGTGGGAATGCAAACTGGTGCAGCCACTCTGAAAAACAGTATGGAGGTGCCTCAAAAAGTTAAAAATAGAAATACCCTATGATCCAGCAATCGCACTACTGGGTATTTACCCAAAGAATACAAGAACACTAATTCAAAGGGATACATGCACCCTGATGTTTATAGCAGCATTATTTACAATAGCCAAGATATGGAAGCAGCCCAAGTGTCCATCGACTGAAGAATGGATAAAGAAGATGTGATATATATATTTATATTTATATTTATATATATTTATATACATCACATCTTTATATATTTAATGGAATATTATTCAGCCATAAAAAAGAATGAAATCTTGCCATTTGCAATGGCATGGATGGAGCTAAAGAATATAATGCTAAGGGAAATAAGTTAGAGAAAAACAAATACCATATGATTTCACTCATATGTGGAATTTAAGAAACAAAATAAACAAGCCAAGGGGAAAAATAAGAGAGAAACAGAGAGAGAGAGAAAGCAAGAAACAAACTCTTAATTATAAAGAACAATCTGATGGTTACCAGAGGGGAGGGAGGTAGGGGGGATGGGTGAAATAGGTGATGGAGAGTAAGGAGGGCACTTGCTGTGATAAGCACAGGGGGATGTATGGAAGTGTTGAATCACTATATTGAACACCTCAAACTAATATAACATTGTATGTTAACTAACTGGAATTAAAATAAAAACTTAAAAAATGATAGCAGTAAATCTGAAATCAGTTCAGGATTGCTTATTGTTTAGAAGAATGGGAACCTCACTTCCCACTTCCCTCTTTGCTTCCTTGCTTTAGTCAACTGCTCATGGCTACTGAATAAAAATACAGGAGTCATTTTTAACCATATTTGACTCATGGAACACAAGAGGACTGAAAACATAGCAAGTGCATCCAACACATTAACACAAGGAAGTGCATCAAACCAGAACTTTTCTCTTTAAGTCATATCGACCTCAGTTTCTGGCTATAGACAGGGCTGGGAGAGAAATATTTCTAGTTTATTTTTTAATATTTAAAAGTGGTAAATTAATACAGTCATTATGGAAAAATTTGGAAAATTAGGAAAAGCATAAAATAGCAAATAAATAAATAAATAAATAAATAAAATCTCAACCAACAAAACAAACAAAAAAACCCACTCCTAGGATCCTATTACTCAGAAGCTACCACTGTTAACATTTTAGCATATTTCTTTACAATCTATTTCTAACATTGTTTTACAAAGTTAGAATCTCATTAAATTAAAAAGTTGTTTATTTTCCTGTTAATTTACCTTATAAATTTTCCTATGTCATTTAAAATTCTTTGTAAATAATTATTTTAATTGGCTTATGATGCTCCATTTATGGATATATCATCATTTGCTAAATCATTTTATTAATGTTGCTTCTACATTTTTTTTTTGCATCTTTGGGCATAAATGCTTGTCCAAATTTAAACTTCTTTCTCTAGAAATAGATTAGTAACGTGAAATTACTTACTATTCATCGTCGTAAGCCTTGGCTAAGCCAGACTGTCCTGAGACCTTGTTGCCCAGGAGATACCTGGCTGGTCCTGTCCAGGGATGGCCAATGTTATATGGTTGTATGGGAAGTTGCATGGGTGAAGTCCTGGTCATGGTAGGGCTTTCCATGACATGATAGTACCTCATCTTAAGTAGGTGAGTAGCCATCATTATAACCCAAGTATGTGTCCGGTGAGGAAACGGGGGATACTTCTGAAGCCATGCTCACTGATGACTGATGGCTGATGGCATCTTGTGTTCCTTGCTGAAATATGTATACTTTGAGTTTACTGCAGTAAAATGGAATCAGTGGCATTAAGAATACATGTGTCTGTGTTCATTTTGCCAGTTGTCAAACCTAATTTTCTATAGGATAATTTTTGTCAGTGGTTAGGTAGGACACATATTAAAAAGAGGTATAGCTACATTAGAATAGGGATATTTTCAGTGTTTAATCAAAACTATAATATCATTCATTAGGCAGGGAAGTAAAGCCCACATTTTACAAACCTGGCAAATCTAATTCAGACAACAAACAAAACAAATGAAAACATAAAAACGCAGGCTAATTGCATAAACCATTGAATGTACTTACCTTACCAGAAAAGCAACTTCACAAAAACAAAATTCATTAAGGGATCTCTTACCCTGGCCTGGGATATCACTTGGAAGTTTGTGGTTCATCCAGATGAACATGGGGTTCTTAATCTCTGGGGTAGTCTTATTTACATGGGTGTCATACCTCAAGAGAATCGTGTACTGTGTCAGGGCATGAAAAAGAAGAAGGATGAACAGAAAAAGACATTTTAGAATGACTTCTGATGAGATTGTCCTGCCCAATGACATCTGAATTTCATAGTAACAATTCTCAGTGAAACAGGTAATATTTAGCAGGCAGGACCTAGCTAGTTGGCATCCATTTATTGGTTCACAGCATGAAAGTAGATTTAAGCTCCAGCTGGGTCAATTATTTTTGTTTCTTTATGACCATAGGGTACTTTATGCTCATACCGGTAACTCCTACCCAACATAGATTCTTCAGGTCTTTAGAGAACCAGTTCAAGTCTCTCATATTACAAAAATGTTAAAATAGAGACCAAAAGAAATTAAATGGTTAGGTCCAAGTCACATGGTAAGTGAAGTACCAATGTTTTCCACAATATTAAGTTGCTATTGAAGATAATATCTTAAGAAAATGCACTACAGCTAAAATCCGTTCATTATCCATTTTGATACATGTCAAGGGGCTCTGAAATAATTCACATTTAAATTCTGTCAATTACATAATTTTCAAATCTCTTCTATCCTTTTGCTCTAATGTGCTGTCTTGTACATGATACTAATTAGGTTTCTAAGATAAAAGTTTTCTTTTTCAAGCAATCTGCTGATAGGATATATTAATATATCCTTATATTACTGCTGAATATAATGATCATCTTTCTAAATTCAACACCATTCCCTCAAAACTTTCTGGACAAAAGTTTTACATCTTTAGAAATATACTTTTAACTTGAAAGCATGATCTATAATTGCATATATTGAGGGTAGTAAATATCCTAATATTAGGAGACAGTACATTGAATCTCTATTGAAACTTCCTCCGGATATAGAATAACTTATTTATATCCCTGTGTTTTGAGAATTAATCTCTGGTTTCCCTATATGTACATATTATACAACACAACTGATGGCATTAGATTATTGAAAAATTCAACTAGATTTGCCTTTATTGAAAAATTCAGCTAGATTTTCTTTCAGAGAGAATAAGTGCACAGAACATTTTTCATATTGAAGAGCAGTTATGAGGCTGCTGTAGGAACTTCCCACATGTATTTGCTTCTCTCCAAGAGCATCATCCCAGCACAAATAACTTAGAGAGGAGTATAGTTCTCTTTATAATTACTATAATAACTGGAGCATTGATGACACTTCAAGGTTTTTATAGTAACTGAAAACTATGGAGTACTTTTCTGAAATGTTGCCCCCAAATTTCTGGTTTAACTTTCTCAATCTGGACATCTGTCCTCTAGCTTTCCACATTTTTATTACAGATATATTTTTAGAAAGTGGGTTAATATATACACTAAATATATGACTTAAAGATGTCATAATGATCACATTGGAAAATCACATGAAAAAATGAGAAAGAAAAGAAAAAGAAAACTTTTTCTCCTAGATTCCTAGTTATGTCAGGACATGACATCTTAAAGAGAGAAACTTTCTACTGACCATTTGGTTGGCAGAACAGTGGCTTTCATAGTTTGTGATAGGCACTACTTTGGGTGACATAAAGACAGGTGATTTGTTTTTTGTTTTGTTTTGTTTTGTTTTTTAAAGATTTTATTTATTTATTTGACAGAGAGAGACACAGTGAGAGCAGGATCACAAGCAGGGGGAGAGGGAGAGGGAGAAACAGGCTTCCCGCGGAGCAGGGAGCCCGATGCGGGGCTCGATCCCAGGACCCTGGGATCATGACCTAAGCCGAAGGCAGACGCTTAACGAATGAGCCACCCAGGCGCCCCAGGTGATTTGTTTTTAAATTAAATGATGATCAGCCATTAACTATATGCCATATAAGAAGCTAAGCACAGGCATAGAGAAGTAAGACCCACTCCCTTTCTTTAAAGAACCTATATGTAGGTGAGGAGAAAAGAGATACATAACATGAATAAGAGCATGACATTATAGGACTGTTTATATGTGTCAGAAAGATAGCACAATTAATGATTTTCATGAGTTCAGATGGAGAGAATAGAGAATGTTTCATTGAAATTTTTAGCTGTGGAAATGAATAAACAATTCTTAGGAGAGCACTGTCATCCTCTCGTTAGTATCCCATCAATAGTCTGGTCTTTATATCAATGTATTCTGGGTGGGTATTTTATATATAGCCAATAGAGTGTGGACGTTCTAAATAAGGTATGCGTCAAAATGCTTAAAGAATACAGTCCTAAGTAGGTCATAATTGTGAATCTGAAATAAATAACTTGCAGATTTTAAACACAACTTCTCTAATTCCTTTGCTATCACTCGCCTTGTAGTTATCCTTCCTCACCTAGTCACTTAACCCCAAGTTCCTGATAAGAAGTCAGACATACTTTGTTGGTTTCCACGGAAGTATACAGAAGCACCATAGTGTTGTCAATATCCCCAGACTCGTCCAAAGTCACAGGACCTGCATGGCCTAGGGCAAAATCAGAAAGAGTTGGAGGTTATTTTTGACTTTTTGACTGAAAAACCAGTTAGATCCTTACAGACGGTATAAAATAGGTTCAAATTGCTCTATTTTACTGAAAAATTATCTTAATGAGCTAATCAGAGGGAATATCCATTGGCTCTTGGCCCTAAGATCTCTGATGGACATTTTTTTTTTTTAAAGATTTTATTTATTTATTTGTGAGAGAGAGAATGAGAGACAGAGAGCACGAGAGGGAGGAGGGTCAGAGGGAGAAGCAGACTCCCCGCTGAGCAGGGAGCCCGATGCGGGATTCGATCCCGGGACTCCAGGATCATGACCTGAGCTGAAGGCAGTCGCTTAGCCGACTGAGCCACCCAGGCGCCCACTCTGATGGACATTTTTAAGAGAGATGCTATTTAGTATTTAGTTAGAAGAGAAAATTTTTGCATTGCAGTTAGGATGAAAATAAAATCAGCCAATTGAATCTAATTATTAGTGAAAAGTTTTTGCTAAGAATATGTACTAAACTAGTAAAAATTCCCCATTTACCATGTGATTTATAGGATTATTAGATTCAAATTATTAGAATTCAAATATCTAGTTTTCAACAAAAATATCACAAGGCAGACAAGGAAACAGGAAAGTGTCACCCAATCAAAAGAAAAAAGGAATAAACCAACAGAAATTATCCCTGAAAAAGACCTGATGGTGGATCTAATAGACAAAGGCTTTAAAACAGCTGTCTTAAAGATGCTCAAAGAACTAAAAGAAGAGATAGATAAAGTAAGGAAAATGATGTATGAACAAAAGGGAAATATCAATAAAGAGAGGGAAAACCTAAAAAGGAAACCAAGAGGAAATTCTAGAACTGAAAAATACAATAGCTGAAATGAAAAATTCACTAGGGAGATTCAGAGGCAGATCTGAGCAGGCAGAAGAAAGAATCACTGAACTTGAAGATAGGACAATGGAAATTATCAAGTCTGAGGAACAGAAAAAAAGGTGAAGTGAACAGAGCCTCTGTAACACCATCAAGCAGACCACCATATGCACTGTGGAAGTCCCGGAAGAAGAAGAAGAAGAGAGAAAGGGGTAGAGAGAATATCTGAAGAAATAATGGCCAAAAATTCTCAAATTTGATGAAATACATGAATATAAATATCCAAGAAGTTCAACAAACTCCAGTAGGATGAATTCAAAGAGATCCACACTGAGACACATTCTAATCAAACTGCCAAAAGCCAGACATCAAAAAGAATGAAAACTTGCCATTTGCAACAATGTGGGTGGGACTAGAGGGTATTATGTTAAGTGAAATAAGTCAGTCAGAGAAAGAGAAATACCATATGATTTCACTCATATGTGGAATTTAAGAAACAAAACAGATGAACATTGGGGAAGGGAAGGAAAAATAAAATAAGATGAAAACTGAGAAGGAGTCAAACCATAAGAGACTCTTAACTATAGGAAACACACTGAGGGTTGCTGGAGGGGAGGTGGGTAGAGTGATGGGTAACTGGGTGATGGGCATTAAGGAGGGCATTTGAAATAACTAGCACTGGGTGTTGTATGCAACTGATGAATCACCGAATTCCACTAAAAAAAATAATAATACACTATATGCTAATTAAATTGAATTTAAGTAAAAAAAAAAAAAAAAAAAGAATTTTGAAAGCAGCAAGAGAGAAGTGATTTGTCACATGTAAAAGATACTCAATAAGATTTTTAGCAGGCTTCTCATTAGAAGTTTTTGAATCAGGAAGGCACTGGCCTGATATACTCAAAATGCCAAAAGGAACACTTTCATCCAAGAATTCTTTTTTTTTTTTTTTTTTAGATTTTATTTATTTACTTGAGACAGAGAGAATGAGAGACAGAGAGCATGAGAGGGAGGAGGGTCAGAGGGAGAAGCAGACTCCCTGCCAAGCAGGGAGCCCGATGCGGGACTCGATCCCGGGACTCCAGGATCATGACCTGAGCCGAAGGCAGTCGCTTAACCAACTGAGCCACCCAGGTGCATCTCATCCAAGAATTCTTTATCCAGTGAACCTGTCTGTCAAAAGTGAGGGGGAAAGTAAGACATTCCAAGATAAACAAAAGCTGAGCTTGTAACCACCAGAACTTGCCCTGCAAGAAATGCTAAAGGTAGTCCTATAGGTTGAAGTGAAAGGACACGGGACAATAACTTGAAGCCATATGAAGAAATAAAGATCTCAGTAAAGGCAAATACATGGGCAGTTATAACATCTAACATTAATATAACAATGGCGTGTAATTCCAATTTTTGTTTTCTACATGATTTAAGAGATGAATGTGTTTTTAAAAACTAGTCTAAAAACTAGTATTATTGTAACTTTGGTTTGTAACCTTACATTTTGTTTTTGGCATAATTTAAGAGACTAATGTTTAAAACATCATTAGTTTGTTTTTGGACACACACATATAAAGATGTAATTTTGCATCAATTTGCGTCAATGTCTGAAAGAGGTGTATATGGAAGTATTAAAGGAGTACAGTTTTCAGATATTATTGAAGTTAAACTGGTATAAAGTCAAATTAGAATGTAATAACCTTAGGGTGTTAACTATAATATCCATAGTAACTACAAAGAAAATAGTTAAAGAATATAAACAAAACAATAAGATGGGAATTCAAACATTTCACTACAAAATAAATCAACTACACACAAAAGAAGACAATAATGTAGAAAATCAGAGACAAAAAGCTGTAAGACAATAGACAACAAAGAGCAAAATGATAAAAGTAAATCTCCCCTATCAGTAATTATTTTAAATATAAAATAGATTAAACTCTCCAGTCAAGGATAGAGATTAGGAGATTGTATTTAAAAAAAATGATTCTATATGATATCTATAAGAGATACACTGTAGGTTTAAAAACACAAATAGGTTGAAAGAGAAAGGATGGAAAAGGATATTCTATGCAAATAGCAACTAAAAGAGAGTGACTGAAAGAGAGTAGTATATTGCATATGCTAATATCAGACAAAAGAGACTTTATTTTTTTAAGATAGATTTATTTATTTTAGAGAGAGAGTGCGCATGCAAGTGGGGGGAGGGGCAGAGGGAAAGAATCTTCAAGCAGACCCCCTGCTGAGCGTGGAGCCTGACGTGGGGCTCGATCTCACAACTCATGAGATCAGGACCTTAGCTGAAATCAAGAGTTGGATGCTTAACCGACTGAGCCACCCAGGCACCTCCAAAATAGATTTTAAATCAAAAAAGTTTACAAGAGACAAAAAAGGACACTATATATTAATAAAAGTTTCAATACAGCAAGAAGATATAACAATTATAAACATTTATGCACCTAATAACAGACTACCAAAATATATGAAGCAAAAATTGATAGAATTGAACAGAGAAATGGACAGTTCTACAATAATAGTTGAAAATTTCAATACTCCAGGTGCCTGGGTGGCTCAGTTCTTAAGCGTCTGCCTCCGGCTCAGGTCATGACCCCAGGGTCCTGGGATCGAGGCGAGCCCTGCATCGGGCTCCCTGCTCCACGGGAAGCCTGCTTCTCCCTCTCCCACTCCCCCTGCTTGTGTTCCTTCTCTTGCTGTGTCTCTGTCAAAGAAATAAATAAAATCTTAAAATAAAAAAAAGAAAATTTCAATACTCCACTTTCAATAATGGATAGAATAATAAGACAGAAGTAAGGAATAGAGGAATAGATCACAACCTGAGCTGAAACCAAGAGTTGGACACTCAACTGATTACAACACCCAGGCGCCCCTCTACAAATATTTAAAGAATAATTAACACCAATCCTTCTCAAACTTTTCAAAAAAACCTGAAGAGGAGGAAACATTCCCGAATTCATTCTATATGGCCAGAATTGCTCTGATACCAAAGCCAGAAAATGACCCTAAGAAAACTACACATCAATATCCCTAATAAACACTGATATGAAAGTCTTCAACAAAATACTGGCAAACAGAATTTAGCAGCATATTAAAAGAAGTATTCATCATGACCAAGAGAGATTTATTCCTGGAATGCAAGAATAGTTCAACATATAAAAGTTGATAAATATAATATACCACATTAAAAGAATGAAGGAAAAAATGCATGATCTTTTCAATTTGATGAAGAGAAAGCTTTTTACAAAATTCAATATGCTTTCGTGATAAAACACAACAAACTAGGAACAGAAGGAAACTAGCTCAACATAATAAAATCCGTCTATGGATAACCCATAGCAAACATCATACTTAATGGTGAAAGACTAAAAGCTTTTCCTCTAAGATCAGGAACAAGGCAAGGAACTTTTATTAAACATAATACTGGAATACCTAGCCAGAGCACTTAGGCAAGAAAAAAATAAAAGGTATCCAAATTGGAAAGGAAGAAGTAAAATTCACAGCTGATATGATCTTACATGTTGAAAATTCTCAAGATTCCACCAAAAAAGAGGTCAGCAAAGTGGCAGGATACAAAGTCAACACTCAAATATCAGTTGCATTTCTATAGACTAACAATGAACATTCAGAAAAGGATGTTAAGAGTACAATTCCAGTGGTAGTTACAGGTCTCCATTTATGGAATGAATAAGTCATGGGGATAAAAGGTAGAGGAAATAGAATCAACGTATAGTCAAAGGTATAGGGAACATAGTCAATGGTACTGTAATAGGGTTTTATGGTGACAGATGCTAGGTACACTTGTGGTGGGCATAGGATAAAGTACAGACTGTGGAATCACTACGTTATATAGCTGAAACTAAGGTGACATTGTGTGTCAACTATATTTCAATAAAAAGAATACAATTCCATTTATGATAGCATCAAAAAGAATAAAAGATTTGAGAACTGACTTAGCCAAGATGAAAGACTTGTACAAAAAAAACTACAAAGCTTTTCTGCAGGAAATTGGAGAAGATATAAATAAATGGAAACCTCCCATGTTTATGTATTGGGACACTTAACATCATCAAGAAATCTATATTACCCAAAGTAGTCCACAGATTTAACACAATCTCTGTCAAAAAAATTATTTTTTTTTGCAGAAATAGGAAAAGCCATCTTAAAATTTGTATGGAATCTCAAAAAACCCCAAAATAACCAAGACAATCTTGAAAAAGAAGAACAAAGCTGAAGGACTCACTTCTTAATTTCAAAACTTGCTAAAAAGCTACAGTAATCAAAACAGTATGGTACTGGCATAAAGTCAGATGTATATGCAAATGGAATAAAATAGGATGTCCCGAAATCAACCCTTATATATATGGTCAGACGATTTTCTCTAAGTCTGACAAGACCATTCACTGGGGGAAAAGAGAGTCTTTAACAAATGGTGCTGGAAAAATTCAATATCCACATAGCGCATAATGCAATCATGACCTAAATGTAAATCTACAAGTATAAAACTTTTAGAAGAAAACACAGAGCAAAAGCTTTATGATATTGGATTTGGCAGTGATTTCTTGGATATGATAGTAAAGGTAGAGGCAACCAGTGAAAAAATAGGCAAATTGGACTTCATGAAGATTTAAAAACTTTGTGCATGAAGACATTATCAACAGAGTAAAAAGGCAACTCACAAAATAGGAGAAAATACTTGCAAATCATGTATCTGATTAGCCAATAATATCCAGACAAAAACCCAAACAATTCAAAAAGGGGCAAAGGCTTGAAGAGACACTTTCTAAAGAACATATACAAATAGCCTATAAGCACATGAAAAGGTGCTTGATATTGCTATTCATTAGGGAGAGGCAAATCAAAATTACAGTAAGATACCATACTTCACACTCAGGAACATGTGTTGGGAACCTTGGGATGATATTGTTATGAGAGGTTCTGGTAGTTTGAGGGGTAACACAGGGTCCCAGATCCCTAAAGGATAGAAAGGAGGTATGGAAGGACCAAAACCAAACTGCAGAGATTTCTCTTCTTGCTAGTCTCCAAGCACAGTCAGGACATCGCCACCCCAAATGCCCTGTGATGAGTTTGTTCAAAGTACAAAGTCCAAGCCATGTGCTCTTTCTTTGATATGGAAAGATTCTGAAATCCTAAAGCATAAACTGGGTAGCGATATCCAGATATCGCTAACAGCAACCCTCAAATGTATTCAATGGTATTTGCCTCCAAGTAAGTTTGAAGATATTTAGCTGTGGATCTATCTATGGCCAACCCCCCTCTTTGCTTCCCAAAGTCCATCCACAAAACCCGAATGTCTTTAGCTTTCTGTAGAAAGTGTTAGTTAAGTTTTGTTGCTGTTGTTGTTTGCTCTTAGGAAACCAGTACCTTCAAAAGTGAGGTTCCTGAAGGCCTGAGCAAATTTGGGGGTGGTAATAGCTTCTCCATTTTCAAGAAATGTCTTCAGTATGTGTCCAAAGAGCAAGATTCCATCCAAGTAGGCAAGAGCAAAGTTATTTTTTGCCTGAATGAGAAAGAAAAATCTTAAAATGAGTTCCCAAAAAGAGATTCTGGTCTTGAGCCTGGAGCAAAACATTCTTGGGGTCTGCAGAGTAACTGGAAAGGTAAAGGGATGTTAGGAGAATTGTAGGGATGGTATTAAAGAAGTCTTTTGGAAAATATGTCCTTGAGCCAGGGCTCTTTTATTAGCCTTGTGTCAAAATTCTGCCTTTCCTTGGCAATCAATAAACCTGGAACACTACCCTTAGGGAAGTAACTAAAAGCAATTATACTTTCTTCCCATGATGGCGAAATCTATTATTTCAATCAGGAAGAACAGCATGCAGCATTGTCATAATTCTTGTGAGATTTTATATAGAAAAAAATGTTTGCTTGTAGTGTAATGTTTTCACAAAGAGTAAAAGAGAACAACAGTAAAAACAACTCTCTTCCCTTCAGCACCCTGAATAGGGCAGGAAGAGAGTTGATTGGATGATACCATTGAACTTGCTTTGAAGACGGTTCTTGACCGTCTTGCGTGGTGGTCTTCACAGAGTTGGGCTGTGGATTAAAAGTCTTATGCCCCCTGAGACCAAGTAAATTCTGTCAGCTTGGGCATTTTAGAATGTCCACCTGTGAAGAATCACACTTTTGCCAGAGCCTAGCAGCTGGGTGAGTGATATCTGAATATTACATCCAGAAGTATATTTGCTAGAAATATAAAAAGAAAAAAGAAAACGCCTCTCATTGGTTTCAGTGTCTTTTGCGGATATCATCATTTCATGAAACCAAAAGAATCCAGTTAAGTCCCAACCCCAAAAGTGGTTACAGCTCCTAATTTTGGCAGGGTTGTAAACAGAGGGTTTAGAACTGCTAGTCTGGGAAAAAACTGTGATACTCCCCAAAGTACCCAACTTCCCTCATAGCTCTTTGGGCCTGGCTTGCCATCCCAAGGTTGTTCATGGTCTCAGGACTGCTCCTTCCCTCCTCTTCCCAGTCCAAACCTGCTCTCAACTGACTCTGAGGGCAGAATACATCTGATGAATTTAGTCACACTAAGGTGCAGTGACTGACAAAGCCCAAGGTCGTGTTAGGGTCAGGGGTCCCTGCATTATAATAAGGTGGCCAGGATTTAATGTCCAGTTAGAGGTTCTTTTTTCTGGGATAAATGCTAAACCAGATATGATGCTAAGACTCTCGTGGACAAATTTAAACAATGGTCAACTTAATTATAATAGGGGACAATTGTCTTAACCTAGGAATATATATCTTTAAAGGTAGAATTTTGATATCTGTGACAGCAGAAAGTTGCTTTAGGGTGTAAGGAACTTCATTTTTTTTTACATTGTTTAGTTTCTACCCTCCCTAAATTAGCGGGGCTTCTTCCTGTCTTCCCCTATTGTCACTTCCATTCCGATGTAATAGAGCGTGCATTGCTGTGTTGGTCCAGAGCCCAGCACAGTGACCTATAGTAAGAATTTTAATATCAGTAACCTGATATTAACCTGATAGTTGGTCTCAGTTAACATTTGTTTTGTGAATGGGAGTAAAAAAAACAATTGTTATTTTAGAATTTGGGTCCTACATAGGAGAATAATATCTTACCCTTGACAAAAAAAAGAGTAGTACATAACCATGAAACTTACCTCTGATAAACCCTTGGAGAAAGAGCTAATGGAGGTGGAATTCCCAGGAGGCAATGTCAGCACAAGGACATTTTTCATATAGTCAGGGGCTGTGACATTTTCCATGAAGTAGTGGTTACTGTAATAAAAGCACAAATTCCTCATGAAAATTCATTCCTCCAAAAATCATATGGAGCTTCTGTAATTCCCACAAACCTCACAGAGTGTGGGTGAAATGACTAGGCAAATATGGGAGATATCAGTGCAGTAACAGTATCCCGTCTAAGTACAGACGGGTAATGATTAATGATGTAGTCAGATAGTTGAGGTCGTATGATCTAGCTGATGGGGCAAGGGGCACAGGTGCACCAGCAACACCTTCTAGGTGTTGAAATAGTTGAAAATGTCTTTTTTTTTTTTTTTTCCAGTAACCTGGAAAACCTTCTACGTCCCCAGATAGGTTTATTGTCATATAAGATGCTAAGTTGAGTAAGAGGACTGTGGTTCACATCCATGAGCGGAAAGGAAGATCAGATCACAGAGACTTCTTTGAGGGAGGTTTTTTTGGGCTCTGGACATGTGAGCTAATGCTTGCTTTCAAGGCTTACTGACTTTTTGTTTATACGTGGAAACTTTCTTTTCTTTATGAGCTCATAATAGTTTGGATATATTGGGATAGGATACAGGGAAATTTTATGAATTAAATTTATGGTGAAACTAAGTATGAAAAGACTAAACATTTTCTCTAACACTGTAAGCTCCTTGACATTAGTGTATTCATTGTGTATCCTCAATCCTAGGTGATAGTTGGCCCATTGTGGACCTTCAATACCGTCTAAGATTGTGCTGCAAGTCATAGAGTTTCTAAACTTCCAAATCATTTGAGTGTTTTAATATGCAACGAATCTAACATGTTTGAACTGCTATCACTAGGATAACCATCATTTACTATTCAAACAGCAGGTGAACACATCTATGCCCTGAGGACTAGGTTGAATAGTTTGCTCATATTATCACATCTAATCCTAAAAGCACTCCTATGAAGTGGGCCTCTTTATTCTCATTTTACAAAAGAGAAGTTTTAATCTCAAGATTCTAAGTAACACCCAAGAGTCAAATGAACCCCAGATGAATAGCTTTTTAAAAAACTGTTTAACTGAGAAGGTGTGATTTGGGAAACCCAAGAAATAAAAGAAATTAATCAACTGTCAAAAAAAAAAAAAAAAAAAGTCAAATGAACCGAAGTGTCAGAACTAGAATTTGAAACCCAGTTAATGTCAACTTTCAAATGAATCTCATGATCTTCCCCAAACATAGCCAGGTGTCCTTTGAGAACAGTGACAAAGGAATGCTAACACTTTGGCAGTTGGTTGAGGATTTGCTAAAAGTAAGATTACACCAACCTGGCTACACTGAGGACTCCTTCCAGAGAGCAAAGTAACTATTGAAAGCAGCTGTCAATGTGGTTGTAGGAATGAAATATTGAGAACTTTGTCCTCTTTCCTGTATTTTGCAGCTAAAAGGCTAAGTTGATTGATTAGATTATCTTCATGAAGGCCTAGTCAAATAGGCCTGCAGTTCCTGTGCTTTATTCCTCTTAACACTGTGACAAGTACATAGAGTGCGGGTGAAATGACTAGGCACATGTGGGAGATACCAGTGCAGTAACAGTATCCCGTAATGATTAATGATGTAGTCAGATAATTGAGGTCGTATGATCTAGCTGATGGGGCAAGGGGCACAGGTGCACCAGCGACGCCTGCTATACGCTTACTCTGACTCAGATACTAGCTTGGTATGGTTTGTGGGGTCTCCAATCATATTAGAAGATGAGTGGTAAAATTTAACACTGTTAATTATACTCTAATTTAAAAAAATAAAAATTGAATTATAAGGAAAGAGAGAGAGAGGAAAGAAGGAAGGAAGGAAGGAAGGGAAGGAGTTTGTATTCTCCAGAATTTTCTCTCCTTAGTTCCAGAGAATTACAGAGGATAAAATCACCACTGTGGTTGTACCACAGAGGGCCAAAAAACAAACTCATTTAACTAGACCTTTCTTCTTACCAAAGGTGGCAAAGGAAAAATCATCTTGGATCAAAGCCATTAGCGATAGAAGGCACAGATATGGCCCACAGTCTCAAAAATAATGCTATTGGGTTGTTAGTTGATTTATCACTGCCTAGAAAAATACCTTAAAATCAGGCTGGGGACCAGGGTCCCTGTAGATGGATGGACATGTGGGTTTAATGGGTCATAACAATTCTGTTTTAGACCTGATAATGATGTCAAAGGTAGGCATGTCTGCTAAGGCTACAATTAATTAAATAAAAATGAGGGTGTGATGAAAGAATAAAACACTGATTAAAATATTATCATACTGAACCCTATGTGAGTCTGTGCGAAGCAAGAGAAAAGAGAATGCATCTTCTGGAAATCCTGGGAGTCTTTCTTTTCTGAAAAGAGGAGAGTTCTTTCAAATATTGTACGTACTTGAATAGATCCACTAGAATAATCACAATGTCTTCAGCCACTGCCCTGTCCCCCTTGAGGTTGCCGATGACGCTTGGTGTACCACACATAACAATCACTGGAGGAGAGAGAACAAGACAAGGAGGGAAATACACAACGGTCTACATAAAAACAGGTGGGAACCAGGTACCTGAATATGAACCCAGTGTGTCCATGCTACATTTATGTTTTAAGATGAACGTCAATTCTTCAATTACTCTGTCTTCTGCTTTTAGTTTAGTTTAGTTTTGTTTTGTTTACAGGTGTAGAGTCAGAGTAGAGCTGTGTAGGATCTTAAAGAGAATCTTCTGGTCCATTCCCTTAATTTTATTGAGTTAAGGAGACCGGAAGCCAAGATGTCAAAGGTTAAAAACGAGTCGATGGCGGAGCCCTAATTTTCAAGTTTATGAATCCGGTTCGGTGTTTATTCCATTTTACCAGGTTGGAGTAGTTACAAAAACTATTTTCATTGATAAGTGAAGTGCCCCTTACCAATTGTGAAGTGGTTGAAAAGATATAGTCAAGTGAATGTGAGAATTTATGTAGTGTTCCTAAGCAACTTTCCTTGGGCTTTGTTTGTAGCCTCTTAACTCAGAACTCAGTCTTAGGGATTTCAGTGGCAGAGTCCAATCTGATTCTGTGAGCTTTACTACTCTTCACCACCCGATTTTTCAAATGCATGGCTATGAGAAAAAGGAGTTGGGGGACACTTCATTGGATCTTTATACTATGTTGTTCAATTGAATTGTAAAAAGCAGCTTAGGGACATCAATACTTCTTTTAAGGGACACTTATACTTCTTTTTCTCCCCACATCTTGGCAATGTTTTGTACACGGAAGGTTCTTAATATGGGAAATGCTTAATAATGACAGATGATGATTTGAGTCATACTAGGAATTCCTGCCAAGCAAGCACCTTCCCTCGTAGGAAAGGTTCACTATTGATTCCTTTACTCCTGATATATTCTTATTTGTAAAGAGAATCCTTGGAAAGTGAAACAAATCACCTCATGACATAGTAAGGATGATTTTATCCCATACTTGACCTATAACTGGGAGATCACTGGGCCTGTGAGATACAGGGACAGAGGAAAGTGAGATGATCTGCTAACCTTGTAATTTTACTTGAGGCCAGATATCAATAAACATATCCTCTCGGTCATCATGGGACCAGGGCTCAGAATGTGGGAGGATTAGTCACAAATCCAATAACAGCTTGTGCTGAGGTCAACTTAAAAAGCAGTTTATGGATGGTGGGTCATGATATCATTTTGATTTATGAAGGCTAGGTTTTCATCATTACTTTCACATTATGTTTAATTACCTTTCTCCTTTCTCTCATAGGATAAGGTTTTAATCAACAGGAAGAACAATCTGATGGAGTTGCGTGCAACTCTAGATCTCCCCAAGTGAACAAAATACACGGAAGCAATGACAGCTCTGTGGTGGTAGATCTGTCAAAACAACTCATAAAAACATGGTAGTTGTGAGGAAGAAGTTGGCAAAAAATTATCTCCATGTCTCCTTACCGTTGCTTTTCCTGTCCTGGTTCATTAAGATACCCTGGAACTGGTCATTTCCCCTCAATGTTTCCTTGAAGCTAAGTTCCTGAGAAAAATAGGACACTCCAGCCTCCAGAGCATTGAGGTACCTAGAGCAGATAAAAGAGAAACTCTAAGAAACCAGCTTAGTTTCTTCATGGCCTTCCATGTTGTTTGCTCCTTGTTTACAGATCTTTTCCTGGAACTTGTTCATCTAAAATTCATTTCCACTATCAACACAACAGATGATACACACAATGATATCAGTGGTCTGGATTGCGGACATCTAGTTTAGTAAAAGTATAGGAGAAGTTTTAGGGAATCTTCATGTATCTCTACAAATGGTAGACATTTGGCAGGTCCCTTATAATGGCTTCCTGCTATATGCAGGAGGAAGGCCACTCTGCTCTATAAACCCCATTATCACAGATAAGCTGAAACCTTTGAGTCTATAGTAAAAAAATTCAGAGTTGATAGGAATCTTTTATCCTCCCAGTGAAATGGACTTCTGTGGGTTCTAAGTTCACCCCGAAGTTTCTAGGACAAGACCTTAGGGTTGATTCTTGCCATTCCCTAGATGTGTGTTCCAGTGGTACCCTGAGTCTTTTGCATACTTGGGCGGAAAGAGACTGCAGAGCTAAGCAGCATCCTGGTGGTGCAGGCGGTAACCCAACCAGAAGATTCTCTCTGCTACCTCTTCTGGAGTTGTGTGAACCTTGTAATTTTATTTTAGCCATGGTGACCAATGTCCCATTCTCCTCCCACCCCACTTAGTCCTCTGAAAAACTGAGAGAGAAAAATTATTTCTAACTAGTGGTCGGTGTTGGCAGAATGCATATTCTCTGGTATTGTATCTTGCACAGTAATGTGAAAGCAGTAACCACTGGTTTTCATTGTCCTTATCTGCAAAATGGAGATCATAGTACTTGTTCTCTTTTCTTTAGAGGATTTACTGTAAGGAATCAATAAAAGTAATGTAAAAGTACTTTGAAAACCAGAGTGTTGCAACTATCATACATGCCGATTACATTTATACTGTTTCCTTTGGCCCCTTCGCTTTCATGTGTGTAAGAAAGTGGGCTGGTGTCCATTCCCAGTGCTTTTATAGATGGAAGGTGCGTCTGATTATAACCTGCCAGGATTCTGTGGCTTCTCTCTATGGCAAATGCCTCCTGCTTACCAGAAACAGTCTTCAGTCTCGGTGCCGTTCTTGAAAACATATGCAGTGTTCCAGGAATAATCTTTGAATGGCAAGTTATTGACCTTCCAAAAGTTAACCAAGAAGTACATCAGCTTCCTAGCTGGAGACATTAGCCTGGTTAAAGTCTCTTTGTAGTCACATGACAATCCAAAACTCCCAGCTGAAATCATGGGGTAGTTCAAATCTGTGTCAAGGCTATGCCAAGAGGTGAGAAAGAAACCAATGTCAGGATTAATTTAAGTAGCACAAATACGATTCCTCTTTAACCTGTTTCAGCCTGTGGTTGGTAATAAATGGTAAGCATGAAATAGGGTCATTCAAGCAGGTTTCTACCTTAAATAGGTGTCCCTTCCACACAGGTAAATTTTAAAACAATATTTATCGAGCATATGTTATGTTTTAAGATACTCTGGGTATTTTTATGTATACGTGGTGGCTTGGTTACTTCAATTTATTCTAAAATGAGTTGTCATAGCATCTAAGCTGGGACATATGCCTTTGGGGAGTAGAGCTAAGGAAACAGAGGATGGCCACCACAACTACCACAGATGTTGTAACGCCCAAAAGATGTCCTCCATACTCTTCCCTCAGTGCACTGCCTTACTTCTGACTCTTCTATGTACTACTTTGAGATACACATCACCTGACGATTTTATAATTTTCCTTCCCTGTTTAGCACATGGATCTTCTTGTGGTTCCTTAAACATTTCAATTTTATTCTCCATCGGGGCCTTGACATATGCCAGAAATGCTTTTCCCCTTGCCTTTTTGCCGGGCCGGCTCTTACTCATCCATCAGATTCTGTATTAAATATCCCTTTAATCATGAGAACTTCTCATTGATACCTGAAGTGGGTATGTGTTTAGTATCTGTCTCCTCCACTAGACTGCAAGCTCCATGAAGGCAGGGATCATGGCTCGCTTGTTCACCTCCATATCTCCAGTCCTTTGGGGTCATAGGTAGGCCCTCAATGCGCACTTGATAAAGGAAGCAAAGCAGCACCCCCTTTTCCATCTTGAGCTCTACACTGAAGGGTTTCACTAAGTGTCCTGCTTGCATCTCCAACTCCCCATGTTCATGGTCAAATGTATCTTTTATTTTTATTTCTCAAAATTGTTCCTTATCCTTATTTCCCTATTTCTTTTAGTGTTTTTTGTCTGCTTTCCATCCCTCACTCCAACATCCAGTTATCAAATGCTATTGATGCTACCCTTAAATATCTTTAAAGGCTATCCTTCTTTTCCACGTCGACTGCTTGCATGCTAGTTCAGCTCTCCTCCTCCCCTGATGATGTTCCCCATCTGTGTCTCCTGTGGGCTCCAGTCCTTCCTGTACAGTGTTGACACTTATTCTTCCCCAAGTTGAGCCGCTTCTCATGGCACTTCTCTGCATAATCTTAATTGCTCCTGATGCAAATCTAATTAAATACACTTCCCTCACCTGAACTCATGACCTCCCAAATACAGCCCTACTTCATATTTCCAGTTTTCTCTCTCTTATTCCCGTGCTCATCTCCTGCACTCCAGCTAATACAGACTTTCACAAAATTTCTACACTTCTCTGCTTCTTTGTTTTTTTTAATAAAGATTTTATTTATTTATTTGACAGAGAGAGACAAAGCGAGAGAAGGAACACAAGCAGGGGGAGTGGGAGAGGGAGAGGCAGGCTTCCCGAGGAGCAGGGAGCCCGATGTGGGGCTCAATCCCAGGACCCTGACATCATGACCTGAGCCGAAGGCAGATGCTTAACGACTGAGCCACCCAGGCGCCCCTGCTTCTTTGCTTTTATACATGCTTCTCCCTCTGCCTGCTGGGATGCTTAAGCCCTCATCTCTACCCATTAACATTTCATCTGTTCTTCAACACTCAACTCATATACCATCTCCTGCATGAAGTCCTTCTTCCCCTCCTGAGCTCTACTCTCCCAACCAGTGGGGGCCCTTTCCTTCTGTGCACCCCACAGCAGCTTGTGTTTCTTCAACGGAGTGTGTTGTACTCTGTCTTGTACTGGTCCCCAGGGCTCTTGTCACCTCTATTTCACTGGGTAGGGGCTGTGTTTTACTTAATGCTCTCTACTCTGACAAAACCAAAATACTTCTCTGCACATGGAAGGTCCTCACAAATAGTGAATCAATTTTCCCGCTCCTCCTTTCCCTCCGAGCACCTTCCGATTCTACAGCAAATCAATAAGTGGTCAAAAAAGACAACAATTGGGAATGAGTGCAAGGAGGAGTAAGAGTCTGATTTTGCCTGTATTTTGGTTTAGAAGATGAGCTGAGAAAGTGCTTCTGTGGTATGTCCGTGCCACCTAGTGGGTCTGAACACCTGAGTGTGTTTGTACAGCTGGGAGGAGGTGTCAGAAGCAGACTTTGCAACAGAAATTTCAGAAATCTAATTCTATCTTTTCCAAAATCTATTGCAAGAGCAGCATAGCTTTCTCTGTGTAGTCAAAGGTGATCCTTGATTCAGGGGAAGACTGAGCAAATGAAAGAAAGGCATGGAAGAGGGATTTTGATTTGGGGAAGGTGTGATCTGGCAGAACAAAATGTTTTGTGGTGATGAGAATTACAGAGTGAAATGAATGGAAGGGATGAGGGTGATTTTCCCAAAGGCAGAGAAATATTTTTACTGTGGAATGTATTGGAAGCGTTTTTTTCCTAAGCTGATAAGGGCACTGGGCAAGGTACTTTCATATGTTAATTATATAATCCTCAATGCTGTGAAGTACCTTGCTACTTTGCTTATTCCTCGGACCTAAGGAATAGAACAGAGCCCTGCCTATCCCCTGAGTGCTGTAGCTTTCCTGTGTGTTTCCATATACTCTGCTCATACTTCAGTGAAGATTTCCTTTATTAAACTCCTCAGATTACCCAAGTTCATTGTCTTCTCTGTCTCCTGCCAGGACTCGAACTTTTTACCTATCCCGTGTTGCCTCTCAGGCTCAGATGTTAATAACCCCTGAACAGCTATGGTCATTCACCCCACGGTAAGCAAGGGTTGAGCTCCCTGGATATGAGAATGACACTTATGGAGAAGGAGCACAATACGAGGGCCCCAACACCCCTGACTGGGTTACCTTGACTAGACCGCTGTTTGGTAAATCATTTAAATAGTGGTATCATGCCCTGACTTCAACTTACGGTGGCATTAAAGCAACAACAAACCAAATTACTTACTACATCTGGAAGGTGGAGTATGTACACGAGGGTCCCACGAGGACACAGCCCATTTGTTTTTTTTTCTGTAGGAAAGAAAAATGAATCTCTAAAATGAAAACAATGGGGGCGCCTGGATGGCTCAGTTGGTTAAGCATCTTCCTTTGGCTCAGGTCATGATCCCGGGGTTCTGGGATCAAGTCCCACATCAAGCTCCCTGCTCAGTGGGGGGCCTCTCTCACTCTCTCTCTCAAATAAATAGAAGCTTTAAAAAATTAAAAATAAAATGAAAACAATGAATAAATGGACAGGAAAGAAGTGGCAAGGGAAAAGGGTCCTAGAAAGTTTGAAGGTGGGCCTCTCAAGAAAGGAGCAAAACATGTTCCTTGGGCTGGGCAAGGGGCGCTAAGGGGTAAAGAAGTCTGAGAAAGTGACGATGTTGCGGGGGGAGAGAAGGAGATTCTGCTGAGGGTGAACTTGGATTCTTTGTCAAAAGGAGGATGCAGAGTGGGGGAAGAAGGACTGACAGACTGTAATGTGAGCAATACCTGTGGGCCAAACTGTGGGGAGACTAGACTTGGAGGTGCTTTGGGGGAAGAGGGCATGTTGCAGTTTTAAGGAGAGCTATAAAACAGGGCTAAAGAGAACGAAGTGCAATGTGACCATCCAGGTGATCATAGATGGTGTCTCGTACTGTTTCTCAAAAAGAACGTGATTAGGAACATCCCATCCCTGGCTTTAGAAAACCAGGGTATACCTCTGTCTGTAGAGGTGGAAGGACGAAGTACACACTCCTGGCATCATAAAGTAGAGTCTGTTAAACTCCCCTTGCTCACTCTTGGCCCTCCCAAGACTGAGAATGACTGCAGTAATCAGTCACTCTTCCTGATACGAGCCGACTTGTCTGGTCCGGGTGATGCTATTGATTAAGGCTTTCAAGTCGTGGTTCTACGCCTAGAATTCTGCTTCTAGGAGAGCCTTTTTTTGGGTTTCGGTGGTAAAAAGGCTTCTTGCACATCTACCTGCCTCTAGAGAGCTTGGAACATTCTTTCACTCCAGAAAGCCCTGGCTGGGGTTGGGAGTTGGGAGGAGGGAGTAGGCAAGAAGCTCTCCCTTCCCATTTCTATCCTTTAACATTACAGTTACTACTTTAAAATTTAGGTTTCAGATTCAGCCCTGAAGCCATTAACCTGTGGCCCCATATAGGGTGACGACTTGAAACAGAGACCTCTGGTGTAGGGCTTTGGAATACCTCAGGTACTTCCCGAGGGGCACAAAAGAAAACCAGTTAATGCCAACATTTAAATTTTTAAAAGTTTTGAAGAAAAAGTTTTGAAGTCATGGAACACTACATCAAAAACTAATGATGTGCTGTATGGTGACTAACATAACATAATAAAAAAATAATAATAAAATAAATAAATCTTTTAGAAATAATAAAAAATAAAAATATTTTAAAAAAAAGGTTTTGAAGACAATTTAAAACAAAAAGAATTCCCCTCCGTAACACTGAAAGTGTACAAATAGAACATAGAGGGTTCTCCTCACTTTCCTGGATTCCCAGAAGGCCCTCATCACTTGGGAAATATATGGGGCTGAAGTCAGATTACCCTCTCTGCAAAGCACTCAGCTATGTGACTAGAGGTGACATACGAGATGGTCATGGACAGGTCCTCAAGTTTCACACTGCGACCTTGCTAAGAAGTGTGAGCTCTACCTACAAAAACATTTACTTACTGAAATTTCCCGTAGTAGGTCGAGGCCTTCACAAGTGCTACTCCGGCAGTCATTTGACTTATAAATCACACTATCCGAAGAGATAAAGCTGGCATTCACAGTCACATTTATGCCTGTTTCCAGAAATGAGGGAAAAGAGAAAATGTGTTATTTTTCAGTAGTTTGTAGCCATGAGGTTTACTTTTTGCCAGTTGATCCTGGAAAAAAAATGGATATTCATCTTCAGGCCTATGAATATTTGAATTCTGAGTTCTTATATTACTCCTTGTCACTTCTTTCCTCTGTCTCTGTCTCTTGTTTCTGTCTACTTGTCTCTCTCAACAGCTTTATTGAGGTATAATTTACCCTCCATAAATATCACCCATTTTAAGTGTACGATTCAATGATTTTTAGTAAGCATATATATTTGTGCAACCATCCCACAATCCAGTTTTATGACATTTTCATTCCATCCATGGCCCTCCTCTTTCATGCTTGTAGTCCCAGCAAGTTTCTTCTACTGTCTGGAGAGTTTTAGGAAAGCAGAGGTACAGACAGTATGATATCTGTTCTTTCACGTTCCCAAGGTGCTGATTCTGTTTGCTGCCAATGTGCACGCTGGTACCTCTGTGGTTGGACCCCAGAGCCAAAGTGAACTGTGTCCATCAGGGTCTAGGATCTTTGGATAATGGATTAGATAAGGGCAAGAGCATTGAGGATGATATCCCTGGGTATTGCTAGATACTATTTCTTGGAAGGGAATAAAAAGACAGCACAACCATTTGACCAAGCTCTTTCTCTTCCATTTTGTTTCCTTCCAATAAAAAATATTCAGGACAGATGTTTGATTCCTAAGCAGAGGCATCCTTCATTTGGCCAAGCCCTTACACAGAAAGTCTGGAAACTCAATTGCTAGTCACACTGCTGGTTACAGGATGAGTGACTTTCTGTGGGTTCTTGCACAAGCCATTTGAATTTCTCTAACTTGGTGCCTTCATAGATAAAATGGGATTAAAACCATAATTGTCAAATGTAATAATTTTAATACCTTTAAAAAAGTAAAGCACATCAACAACAGAAGTTGTTGTTCTTCTGAACATCCAAATAAGAATGTTTTTCAAGGCAGAGAACAAAATAGTCTTTGTATTTCTATAGCCGCCTCAGAGATGTGTCTTTCGACTAGGGAGCATTTTATCCCTTGCCTTTTTTGGGGGAGGGAGGGTTGATTCAAGAACACTTATTCTGATACTTTGTTCAGTAAGAGATCTAAATAAGGTTGGCAGTAGGTCTAGTCAAATGGGAGAAGTCAATGCAATAAGACCAGTCAGAGAAAATTAATAGAAGAGGTGGGGCTGGTGATGGATTTAACAGCAATTAACTCTGAATGTAGCCATGTGCCAGCTGTAATACCAAACACTTTATACCCCCCTTTTGTTATTTAATTCTCATAGCAATAGGGCGAATGTAGGGTATATAAAGCCAGAAGGATAGTATGAGTGAGGCTGTGGGGGCCCCAGAAGAAAAGGAGAGTGCAGATGGGGACCAGTGGAAAACAGTGCTGGAGATGGGTCTTAGAAGGCAGCAAGAAGAGTCAGGGAGTGGAGTGGAGACCAGGACACAGTCACGTTATGAAAACAGGGCTTTGGGAAGATGGCCACACCCCCGGCTGTTAATGTCTAGGATAGCTCTTCCTCCCCGCCTCGTATGAGGGCTCTGCTCCCTCCTGCCACCATGAGGGGACTGAAGATGACCCACTTAAAAATCCAATGGTCCAGGCAGCCCATGGCAGATGGGCACAGCAAAACCCAAGTATAAATCCTGCACAGGATCTGGAAGAAGGGGAGCCAACATCTATTGAGTGTGACCTCAGGCAAGTGACTTCATCTCTGGGGCCCCAGGTCCTCAGCCATTTATAGATAGACCAGAATTGGATGATCTCCGTTACTATATGCCTAGCATTGGGCTCTGGATTTTCACATGCATTATTTCAATCCTTAAGTCTCCCCTGAATCCTATGAGGTTAATTAATAGTTTATCTTCCTAATTTAAAAGTGGGAAAATGAAGGTCTAGAGAGGTAGATTAACTTGCTTAGGGTTACACAGCTGGGGTTTTGAACCTAGGACCGTCTGATTCTAGAATCTGATACGCTGTAGAACAGCAGTTCGCAAAGTGTGGGCCATGGACTCCAGAGGTACCTCGAGACTCTTTCAGGAGGGCTAGGAGGTCAAAGCTATCCTTAGTATATTAAGACATTGTTTTTTCCACTCTCCTCTCATGAGCTTATAGTAGAATTTTGAGAGGCTACATAATATTAATTGTATTATTGCAACAGATTAAATGCAGAAGGAGATATGAGAATCCAGCCATTTTCTATGAAGCCTGACATTAAAGATGTACAAAAATATAAATGGATACCATTTTCCCCACCTATTTTTATTTTTTGGCTTGAGAAATATAGGTTTTCTTTAATAAGAAATTTTATTTATGTGAACAAAGTGTTTGTAATTATTTTAAATGAATCAATAAGCAAATATTCAAAACATTTCTATCTTAATTTCCAATATAGTAAATATATTTACTATAAATGTAAAATATATTTATAGTAAGTTTACTATAAATATAAATGTAAATGTCGGTAAATGTAACTATAAGCAGAACTCTACAGAGCCTGCAATTATTTTTAAGAGTAAATAGGTCTTGAGACAAAAAAGTTTGAGAGCCACTTCTGTAGAACATACGTAGTATGCTGCTGCCTCTCAACATTTTATGGTTATGTGAACTGTTTTTGCTTTTGTTTTTTAATTGGGCAAAGAAAGATGATGATCTCTTCCCTTTTATCTTCCCAAATCCCAAGTGATTTCTCGAGAAAATACTGAAAAATTTTCAGACAATGTAATGACTTCAAATCAAAGCTTAACTTTTAAAATAAACAGTTCCCCCAAGTGCTGTTTCTCATCTTTATCCTGCCTGCACCTCTACCTCACCAGGATACCTGGTGAGGATGCGTGGAATGCTACAGAATATAGAGTAATCTCAGAGTCCTTTCTCTCCTACCTAGAACTTTGAGGATGGGGTTGGACCAAAGTGGATCGGAACATAGGTGCTGGAGTCTAGGAAAGGGACCCCCCTTAGCACATGAGATCATTTGGAGATCACTGGAGGGTATGTATATTCCATGCTGAGCCATGGAACATACATCTTTGAGGAGTTGATGTCCTTAGGTTGAAGGAATCTCTTTTTTCATGCTTTCCACCAAATCCTATCTAGTCTTCAAAACCCACAGAGGCTTCCTAAATACTAGAAAAAAATACCGTTTTCTTCCATTTGGACATCAGCCACATTTGGACTCTTAATTTTCTTCAATTTAGCCCTTAAGTATATTGTCTTAGAATTTCCCCCAAATAATAATGCTCACAATGTTTAGAACATGAACCTATCTTTCCATCACAACCTGTACTTCTTGAGTTTCCTATGCACAAACACCCATCTAACAAAATGCATCATCACATGCAAAAATCTGGGTATCATTCTTTACTCTTTCACCCCCCACAAAATTCTCCACTCATTTAATCTGCTCAACCACTTCACCATGCCTAGTTTTGTAAATGAGATGAGTAGAACTTAGAAGAAACAACCCAATAAAGCGTTTATAATTACTAGTGACAGATGGATCAGGAATTCAAATTCAGGTTATATGAGTCCAGAGATCAGATCTTACCACTATGCTCCTCTGTTTATTTTATATCCTGGTAACTTGGTCAAGTAACAGCACCACAGCAATAACACAACATCCTCAACAAAAACACAACAGTGACAACAATGAAACAACCAGTCTTCGAGTTCTTACTATGTTTCAGTCTGTGTATGAAGTACTTTATATGAATTTCCTCATTTGATTCATACCATATTCACACGAGGTAACTACTCTCTATTGTAATTTTATAAAGTAAAGGGATTGAGGCTCGGAAAACTTAAGTAATTGCTCCAGGTCACTGGTGATAAATGGGTGGATAAAAAGCTGGAATATGAGCCAAGATCTGATTCCAAATCTCTGCTTCTAACCACAATGTTCCACTGTCTTATTTTAATGAGAAAGTTAGTTCATGGTGGGTAAAGATCTTACAGTGGCAGTATGATGCGCTCTTTGGAACCAGACAGTTATGGGTTGGAATCTCATTTCCAAATAGGCAACCTGTATGGCTTTAGCAAAGTTATTAAACCTCCACTGTGAAACTGTGTCAGTAATGCCAATCTTACAGAGCTGTGATGACTAAAGAGATTATATATCTTACCTAAGACATGACAGGTACTCAAACAAGGAAACCAAGGCTCGGAGAGACTAAGGGAAATTGCTCATCCAGGGTCACAAAGAGAGAAAGCTCTGGGACAGTGACGCCAATCCACATCCTTAGATTTCAAAATCAAATGTTCTTTCCATGATGCCACAGTCTTGGTAAATAAGGGGATTTTATGAAATGACCTTATAGTTCCATTATAGTTCTAGATCAGATCCATCTGTTTACGTCTGAATTGGTCTCAGGCAAGGTTGAAAGAAATGTATATTGCACAGCAGAAATTTATTACACATATGTGATGTGTGATACCTCTTGCTATTATTACCATAGAATTTTATTGTATTTTTAGTGGTTATTCAAATTTTATTTATGACAACTTCTTAGAACACACACATCTAGTCCAGGAACAGAAATGTATAGCATGAGGCTAAATACCTTCCATTCGCTATGTACAGCCATTAGCAGAGGTACCCGAATAACATATAGCATATACCTGTGCTAGCCACATGGCACGGAGAGCATGAGCCTGATGAAACCACGCAGCGTGGGCAGTAGAAAAGAGCTGATTACCACGGAGTTTTAAATACAGAAAATTAAGACATACCCTCTTTAGAACCGTAAGTAAACATTAAGATGTATGATATAGTCATTGACTCAGTAATTATACTTTTGGCTATCTAGCCTCAAGAATGGAAAAAAAATATATACATATGTATGTGTATATATACATATAAATAGATGTATATGTATATATGAAAATGCTTATTGTAGTATTTTAAAATAATCATGAAAATTTAAAAACAATAGGAAATCATACAGCAGGGAATAATTAGATGGCTTGGGAAGACATCTACTCCAAGGAATAGTATATATCCACTCACGTGATGTGAAGATTCACGTGAAGATTACGCAGCTATAGGAAAGTCACTTGCAGAATAATGTGAAGTAAAATCAGAAGGATAGAAAATTGTTTCTATACCATAGTGATCCCAGCCATGTTCTTAAAAACAAGAAACTGAGAGGCATGTTAACAGACACTGGAAATATCCAGGTGGCTGAAAATGATCAGGTGTGATATTTTCTCTTTATGTATTTTATTTAAAGTTATAAAGTTTATTGTAATAATTAATAGATACAATAAAAAAACTGCAACACTGAATTTGGTTGCAAACTTATTTGATTATGTCTTATAATAATAGCCAACAGAGGGACGCCTGGGTGGCTTGGTCAGTTAAGCGTCTGCCTTCGGCTCAGGTCGTGATCTCAGGGTCCTGGGATCGAGCCCCGCATCGGGCTCCCTGCTCAGCGGGGAGTCTGCTTCCCTCTCTGCCTGACGCTCCCCCTGCTTGTGCTCTCCCTCTCTCTCTCTCTGACAAATAAATAAATAAAATCTTGAAAAAAATAGTCAACAGAGATGTAAAAAGTGAACAGATAGATGAAAAATCCCAGAAAAAAGTCAGCATCTGTATGAATTTAACTCTCCTAATTCATCTTCTTGACTGGTAACCCTGCAAAATCTCAGGCCCAGACCAAATACTGCCTCTGAGCAGCTGCAGAAAGGAACATGAAGCCTCCTTGAAACTGAGCCATCAATCCAGTTTTGTCTGGGGCAGTTCACTGCTGTGAACATCTGGCATTCCCTGGGTTAGGGCCAGGGTGAATTATGATGGAGCACATTGTGGTAGGACTTAAATCCTTCTCTTTGAGGACCTACTGCCTTGAAATAGAAAGGGATTGTCAGACAAGCTCTTAGAGGAGAGTGGGTGATCAGGCAAAGAATGGAAGGTCTTGGCTAAGCAACCCTTTGACCCCAGAGGCGATAACAGGGAGGAGGTGGACCCTGTGACTACATTCTTACCAGCATTAAGCAGACGCTGTCTCACTATTTCCACTCCCTCATTCACCACTTCTTTCAAGTTATCCAAGGACTCTGGGAAGGCTGAGTTGTTCATCATCAGGACGCTGATCTCGTAGCTGCCATTGTTGCAGTTCTGACTGATCTCGGAGGTCCAGAACGTCAGCCCTGGACGGAGGAGCAGTGACCACAAAGCTAAGCCCAATAGTGTCATCTTTGTGACCTTGCTTACCTCAGAACCATACTCCTTGTGCTCACTTGTTTTACTCTGTGCCTTTACGGAGGCAGGAACTCCAGCTGGGCAGCCTCTAGCTGGGTCCTTTGGTCCACTCTTCCCCACGCTCCTTTCTGGTCATGCCCCACTGGTCACGTGGACCATGAAATACAGCCTGCCTGCCAGCAATTAACAGCTACATTATGATAGGAGATAAACCAAAGTTCATTTTGTGTGTTTGCTCACAGAAAGGCCAGAGTTATAAACAGCGAGATTACCTGGGCCTCACCCAATAAAAATACATCAGTTTGTGACACATCACTGGGAAGAGGAAAAAGGGGAAGAGAAAAGTATAGTACATACATAAAAAGATTTGTAAAATGAAAAATAAAGGTCAAAGGGCTTAAGGAAAGCACAAATATCATGGACTATTGGTGTTTAGGTTGTAACTGCACACCGGAACTGAATCCTTAACTAGGAAGAACTGTGTTTCAATCACCTGGTCAGCAACTATTTATTGAGACTTGACTAGGTTCTGGGCATTAGCAAGGCACTAGGTACCCAGCTATAGGTGGTGTGGATATATTAATGTCTTTATGGAACATGCATTCTGGTGGTGAAGACACACATTAAATAAATAATTATGTATAACTCAACTGTGAAAAAAAGTGCAGAGTGCTGCGGGGCACATGGCAGATTAACAATCTATTCTAGAAAGTCAAGGAAGTTTCCCTGAGAAACTGTCCTTTAAGCTAGACCCTGAAGGATGAACAGGAGTTAACTGAATGGAAAGAGAAGGAGCATATGGAAGGCAGGGGGACAGCGTGTATCAAGGCCCAGAAGTGGGAAGTGATATGGATGTTTGAGGAACTGAAAGAAACACAGCATGGTTGAAGTAGAGAGAGCTAGGAGTCTAGTGGCAATAAAGGCTCTCAGTGGAGTAGGGGTAGGCCATAGGGTAGGCCATAGGGTTTTCTATAAGCCATTAAGGATTTGGAACTTCACGCTAAAGGTCAAGAAAGTAACATGATCAGATGAATTTTGTAAAGACCTCTTAGGCCGCCATGGAAAAAATGACCTAGAGTGGGGACATGGAACAAATTAAGACAGTGTTTCTGTGGTCCAAATGAGAGGTAAAGGAGGCCTGGATGAGGGCAGTGGCAGTGGAGATGGGTTCAAGAGATATCTAAGAGGTAAAATAGATGGAACTTGATATTTTTTGGATTTGGGGCATTAGAAAGAGGAAGGAGTCAAGAGTGGCCCTGATAAGTCCAGTTGGGTAGATGGGAAAGCTGCTTACTAAGCTCTAGGATTCTGGAAGAGGAGTAGGTGAAGAAGATCATGACTTCTGTTTTTGGACATGTTGATTTTAAGGAACCCATGCCGATGTGGGAGTAGCCTGGTTTTGGGAAGGGGACCTGGATCTAAATGGAGGTTTGGAAATATAGTCAGAGATGTAGTATGATTGACCAAATAATGTCATTGTTTACATCACTGACTTGATGTAAGGCAAAATTTATGTTTTAAACTTAAAGCAAGTGACATCAACAGATGGAGGGCTAGAAGCCCCAGCTTTCATCCCTCCACGAAAACAAATTAACAACTGCCCACTGATGAAAATAGCTCTGGGAGAGCTTTGGAGTACAATGAAGAAGCTGTGGCAACCCAGTGGAACACAAAAACCAAGATGGCCCCATAAGAAAACTATAAGCATTATATGTGTCATTCCATCCTCCAGTCTGGCACTGCTCCATACCAAGAGGGATCCCCTTGGCCATGACCTCCCACTGCAAGGAAAGGAGAGCAAGAGGACCCCAGCAGCCCTTACCACCGGTATGAAAACCTGCAGTTTTTGCCACCAAGGACCTCTACAGTCTTTGCTGACACTAACTCCAGCTGACAGAGCTGCCTGGGGTACATGCTGTTGTGTCTCCTTCGAGAAGGAGCTGCTGGTACACCCTCCTTGGGACAGGAGCCACTGCACCACCCTCCCCAGTGCCTTGGTGCCTACACCCCAGACCCCAGCACCAAGAGGGATCTCACTGGCCAGGACTTCTGCTGTGGGGGTAGAAAGAGAGCAGGAAAAGGCTAGCAGAACTTGCTGCTGTAGTTTTGACGTCAAGGATGCTTGCAGTCTTCACCAGTGCTGACCTCAGCTGACAGAACTGCCTGTTTTTAATGAGTTCATGATATAAAAAGAAGCACTCTGATGATAAGAACACAAAATGTAGGGATAGGAGAATAAAAGTATAAGATTTTGTATGCAATTAAAATTAATAAATACAAAAAAAGAAAAAAAATAAAAGCAAATCACTACAAAAAATCATCAAATAGCAAAGGAGAAAAAAGAATGGAAGAGAGGTAGAAATCAGGAGCAAAACAACAGAAAACAATGAATAAAATGGCAATAAAAAATCCTCTCATATCAGTAATTACCTTCTTTCTTTATTTTGTTTGTTTCAGGTTTTTATTTAAATTCTAGTTAGTTAACATATAGTGTAATATTGGTTGAAGAAGTAGAATTTAGTGATTAGCTTACATATAACACCCAGTGCTCATCACAACAGGTGTCCTCCTTAATGCCCATCACCCATTTAGCCCATCCCCCACCCACCTCCCCTCCAGCCACCCTCAGTTTATTCTTAATAGTTAAGAGTCTCTTATGGTTTGACTCCCTCTCTTAATAATTACTTTAAATGTAAATACATTAAACTCACCAATCAAAAGGCATGGAGCGGCTGGCTGAACAGATCCAAAAACCCCACCAATACTCATCAATATGCTATGTACAAGAGATTCACTTTAGATTTAAAGACACAGATAGGCTGAAAGTGAAGAAATAGGAAAAGATATTCCATGCAAATGGTAACCAAGAAAAAGAAGGGGGCTATACTTACATCAAACAAATTAGACAAAGAAGGACATTATATAATGATAAAAGGGTCAATTCAACAGGAAAATAGGACAATTATAAACATATATGCACTCAATACATGAGCACTTACCTATATACAGCAAATACCAACACATCTGAAGGAAAAATTTGACAACTGACAAGTTGACGATACAATAACAGTAAAAGACTTCAATATTCCACTTACAATAATGGGTAGAATACCAAGACAAAAAAATCAATGAAAAAACAGCTGATTTGAACAATACTACAGATCACATAGATCTAACAGACATATACAGAACTTTCCATCCAATAGCAAAGAATACATGTTTCTCAAGAGCACAAGGTCCATTTTCTAGGATATATCAGTGTTACATCAGAAAACAAGTCTTAACAATTTCAAGAAGATTAAATCCATTCCAAGAATTTTTTCTGACTACAGTGGAATAAAACTAGATGTCAATAACAGCAAAAAAATTAAAAATAAATAAATAAATAAAGGAAAATTCATGAATCTGTGGAAATGGAACAACACACTCTTAAACAACTCTTGGGTAAAAGTGGAAATCAAAAGAGAACTTAAAGAGTATCTTGAGACAAATAAAAAAGAAAAGCGAACCCATACCAAAACTTATGGGATGGAGTAGAAGGAGTGTTAAGGGGGGAATTTATAACAATAAACATTTACATTAAGAAAGATCTCAAATAAACAATCTAATTTTATACATCAAGAAACTAGAAGAAAAAACTAAACCCAAAGTTAGCAGACAGAAGGAAGTAATAAAGATTAGAGGAGAAATAAGTCGAATAGGGAATAGAAAAAAATCAACAAAATAATTGGTTTTTTGAAAAGATAAAACTGACAAACCCTTAACTAAAGGGAAAAAGAGAGAAAACTCATATAAATAAAATAAGAAGTGAAAGAGTGGACATTACAATGGATGTCTCAGAAATAAAGAGGATCAGAAGGGACAATTATAAGCAATTATAAACACTAATAAACTGGGTAACCTAGAAGAGTTGCATAAATTTCTAGAAACATACAACCTACCAAAACTGAATGAAGAAAAAATGAAAAGTCTGAAACAAATAACAAATAAGGACATTGGATCAGTAATTGAAAACCTCAACAAAGAAGTCCAGGACCAGGTGTTTTCGTGCATAAACTCCACCGAGTATTCAAAGGAGAATACCAATCCTTCTTAAACTCTTTCAAATACAGAAAAAGAGGGAACACTTCCAAACTCATTTTACGAAGTCAGCCTCATCCTAATACCAAAACCAGATAAAGAGATCAGAAAAGAAAATTATAGGCCAACATTCCTGATGAACACAGATGAAAAATCCTCAATAAAATACTAGCAAACTGAATTCAGTAGCACAGTGAAAGGATCATATACCATGATCAAGTGAAATTTATCTCTGAGATGCAGGGATAGTTCAATATATTCAAATCAATGTGATATACCACATTACCAAACAAAAGGAAAAAAAAAACCAAACATGATCATCTCACTAGATTTAGAAAAAGCATATGACAATGTCCATTGATTCATGATTACAATTCTTAGGGCTCCTGGGTGGCTCAGTCAGTAGAACATGTGACTCTTGATCTCAGGGTCCTGAATTCAAGCCCCACAGCTCCATAGTCCCACACTGGGTGTAGAGCCTACCTAAAAAAAAGTACATGATTAAAATTCTCAATAAAATAGGTATAAAGGAAACTTACCTCAGCACAATAAAGGCCATCTATGAAAATCTCACAGCTAAAATAATTAATAGGGAAAACCTGAAACCTTTCCCTTGAAGATCTGGTACAAGGCAAGGATGGCCACTCTTGCCACTTCTTTTCAAAATAGCACTGGAAGTCCTAGCCAGAGCAATTAGGCAAGAAAAAGAAAGAAAAGGCACCTATTAAAGCAATTATCTATTTCTCCTTTACTCTCACCCTACACCCATATTCTGACACCAGATGTGTGGGTTTTCCACACATCAAGCAATCCTCTGATATCAGATGGGTGACCTAAAATTTAACTCAATTCTGGCACTATCTACCTGGAGATAGCACTAGATTCCACAGCTTAAGAGCTCAGCCCAGCAAGAC